GTGATCCCCACACCCCAGGAGGGAAGACTGCACACAAGCAGGTGACCCCCCACACCCCGGGAGGGACTGGTCCACACCAGCAGTGACCCCGCCCCTGGGTAGGAGACTGGCACACAGCAGTTTGACCCCCCACACCCCGGTGAGGAGTACTGCGACACAGCAAGTGACCCCGGACCCGCGGGAGGGACTGCACACAGCAGTGACCCCCCCCACACCCCGGAGGGAGGACTGACACAGCAGTGACCCCCCACACCCCGGGAGGAGACTGCACACAGGCAGTGACCCCCCACACCCCGGGAGGAGACTGCACACAGCAGTGACCCCACACCCCGGGGGGATTTTACGCACACAAGCATTTGTGTTTTACCCCGAACCCGGGAAGGAGACTGCCACAGCAGTGACCCCCCCACCACCCGGGAGGGGGACTGCACACAGGCAATGACCCCCCACACCCGGGAGGAGACGCCACACAGCAGTGACCCCCGACCCCGGGAGGAGACTGGCACACAGCAGTGATCCCCCACACCCCGAGGAGGACTGCACACCAGCAGTGACCCCCCCACACCCGGGAGGAGACTGCACACAGCAGTGACCCCCGACCCGGAGAGACTGCACAGCAGCAGTGACCCCCACACCCGGGAGAGACTGCACCACAGACAGTGATTTCCCCCCACACCCCGGGAGGAGACGCACACAGCAGCTGACCCCCCCAACCCCGGTGAGGAGACTGCACACAGCAGTGACCCCGACCCCGGGGAGGAGACTGCCACACAGCAGGTGACCCCCCCCACACCCGGGGAGGAGACTGCACACAGCAGTGACCCCCCACACCCCGGGAGGAGAACATGCACACAGCAGTGACCCCGGACCCGGGGAGTTTGAGACTGCACACAGTGCATGACCCCCCACACCCCGGGAGGGAGATGCACACAGCAGTGACCCCCGACCCCCGGGGGAGACTGCACACAGCAGCTGACCCCCCCCACACCCCGGAGGAGACTGCACACAGCATGTGGACCCCCACACCGGAGGAGACTGCACACAGCAGTGATCCCACAACCCCGGGGAGGAGACTGACACAGCGTTGACCCCCGGACCCCGGGGAGGGAGACTGCACACACAGTGACCCCCACACCCCGGGAGGGGAGACTCGCACCCAGCAGTGACCCCCGACCCCGGGAGGAGGACTGCACACAGCAGTGACCCCCCCCACACCCCGGGAGGAGACTGCAACACAGCAGTGACCCCCGACCCCCGGGAGGAGACTGCACACAGCAGTGACCCCCACACCCCGGGAGGAGGGACTGCACACAGCAGTGACCCTCCCCCAACTCTGCCTTGCTCTTAGGTGCCTTTCATCCTTGGACCTCACGCCTCTCTTCTAGAGTTGCTAATTTGACCCTTTTTCGGAGTGTTTCTGAGGGCACCAGGTGTATGAACCTGGCCCAGAGAATCCAAGTGAAGTGGCGGGTGGGTCATAGGATGTTGTGTCACGCTCAGAGGACTGCCTGGCGTTGTGTTGCCCAGAGGCAGCCCTCCACATCCACCTGCACATTGCATCAGTCGGCCCTGCTCTGTTGTGTCTCTCCCCAGTGTGTGGAGTTGCGCGTGGCACACACACGCCACACTTTCAACAGCGGCCTGAGCACCGCAGCACACCATTGAGCTTTCGGCCTTCCCTCCTGCTGGGTCCACGGAGCTGGGTGGGGGTGCTCTTGGCCAACGTGGGTGGTGGGTTGTGGGTCTGCGCCGCCCCACTCCTTCTTGGGGGGCCGTAGCACTAACTTGTCCTGTCTCCCACAGACAGTACTCGGTCCCTGGATGAGGCAGGAGGGAAGGCCAAGGGTTCTGCCCAAGCTGGTGGTCTCAGTCCAGGCCTGCGGGATGGGCATGCCACCTGATCAGTCGGGCCGGCCTGGGCGGCTGAAGCACAACACAGTGCTCATGGCCTGGCCTGCTCCTGGAAGCAGGAGGGACAACCCTCTCCTGGAAGAACTTTGTGGAGTAGGTGTGGCTTGGTGCCCTCTGGCATCCCCTCCACTGTCCCCTCAGCTCCCTTCACCGTCCCTTCACTGTCCCCTCTTCCTCCCCTCAGCAGTCCCCTCACTGTCCCCCTCTGTGGTTCCCCTCACTTGTCTTGCTCAGCTTCGCCTTCACTGTCCCTCACTGTCCCCTCTGCATTCACACCGTCCCCTCACTGTCCTCAGCTTCCCTTCACCGGTCCCGTCACTGTCCCCTTGCGTCCCTTCACCGTCCCCTCACGTCCCCTCTTCCCCCTCAAGCGTCCCCTCACTGTTCCCTTCTGTGTTTCCCTCACTTCCCCAGCTTTCCCTTCACTGTCCCCTCACTGCCCTCTGGCTCCTTCCACCGTCCCCTCACTGTCCCCTTTCCTCCCCTCAGCGTCCCCTCACTGTCCCCTCTGTGTCCCCCTCACTGGTCTCCTCAGCTTTCCCTTCACGTCCCCTCACTGTCCCCTCAGCTTCCTTTGCACCGTCCCCTCACTGTCCCCTCTTCCTCCCCTCGGGTCCCTCCACTGTCCCTCTGTGTCCCCTACTGTCTCCTCCAGCTTCCCTTCACGTCCCCTCCTGTCCCCTCCAGCTTCCCTTCACGTCCCCTCACTGTTGCCTCTTCCTCCCCTCAGCGTCTCACTGTCCCCTCTGTGTTTTTCCCCCCCCTCACTGTTCTCCTCAGGCTTCCCTTCCACTGTCCCCTCATGTCCGCTCTGGCATTCCCTTCACCGTCCCTCACTGTACCCCTCAGCTTCCCTTCACCGTCCCCCTTCACTGTCCCCTCTGCCGTTTCCCCCTCACCGTCCCCTCACTGTGCCCCTCTTCCTCCCCTCAGGCGTTCCCCTCACCTGTTCCCCTCTGTGTCCCCTCACTGTCCCCTCAGCTTCCCTTCACTGTCCCTCACTGTTCCCCTCTTGCGCCCTTCACCGTCCCCTTCACTTCCCCTCTCCTCCCCTCAGCGGTCCCCCTCACGTCCCCTGTGTCCCCTCACTGTCTCCTCAGCTTCCCTTCACTGTCCCTCACTGTCCCCTCTGCATTCCCTCACCGCCCCTCACTGTCCCCTCAGCTCCCTACCGTCCCCTCACTGTCCCTCGCCATCCCCTCGATGGTTCCCCTCGATTCCCCTCACTGGTCCCCTCGGCTGTCCCCTACGTTCCCCTCGATGTCCCTCGCCGTTCCGCTCACTGTTCCCCTCGCGGTCCCCTCGACGCCCTCGATGTCCCTCGACGGTCCCCAGGCCTGTGCGCTTCAGGTTCCCGATGGGGCCTCTAGGGGCTGCCGGCCTAGGGTATGGTGGCTCCGAGGCTGTGGGAGGGGCTCTGGCCCGGGAGCGGCACTGAAAGGTGGTCCAGGCACTCCCTCCCCTTCCTCCCAGAGCCCGCGTGGCTGAGGGAGTCCCTGGCTGCGTGACCAGCAACTGAACTCTGCTGTGAGTCTCTGGCTGGGCCTTGGGGAGGAGCTGACCTAGTGAGGGTGGGGGCTTTACGGGGGGACGGCCACCTCACCTCGCCGTGCCGCCCCTGCGCCGGCCTGTGAGTCTGGGGGAGGCAGCGCTTCCGGCCGAGGCCCGTCCCGCATCCTGGCCTCAGGTGACCTGCGGACGGCCCTGCCTCTCTCACAACACCGCCGCGTACACCACCACCGCCGCACCAGGCTCTGCTGGTGCTGTCCCCTCTTCCTCCCCTCAGCGTCCCCTCACTGTCCCCTCTGTGTCCCCTCACTGTCTCCTCAGGTTCCCTTCACCGTCCCCTCACTGTCCCCTCTTCCTGCCCTCAGCGTCTCCTCACTGTCCCCTCTGTGTCCCCTCACTGTCCCCTCTGCATCCCTTCACCGTCCCTTCACTGTCCCCTCTTCCTCCCCTCAGCGTCCCTTCACTGTCCCCTCTGTGTCCCCTCACTGTCCCCTGTCTCCTCAGCTTCCCTTCACTGTCCCCTCACTGTCTCCTCTGCATTCCCTCACCGTGCCCTCACTGTCCCCTCAGCTTCCCTTCACCGTCCCCTCACTGTCCCCTCGCCATCCCGTCGATGTCCCCTCGCATCCGCTCACTGTCCCCTCGACGTCCCCTCGATGTCCCCTCGCCGTCCGCTCACTGTCCCCTCGCCGTCCCCTCGATGTCCCCTCGCATCCCCTCACTGTCCCCTCGCTGTCCCCTCGACGTCCCCTCGATGTCCCCTCGCCGTCCGCTCACTGTCCCCTCGCCGTCCCCTCGACGCCCCCTCGATGTCCCCTCGACGTCCCCAGGCCTGTGCGCTGTCAGGTCCCGATGGGCCTCGAGGCTGCCGGCCTGAGGGTATGTGCTCCGAGGCTGTGGAGGGCTCTGGCCCGGGGAGCGGCCATCTGAAGGTGTCCAGGCACTCCCTCCCCTTCTCCCAGAGCCCGCGGGGGCTGGGGGAGTCCCTGGGCGCGTGACCAGCAACTGAACTCTGCTGTGAGTCTCTGGCTGGGCCTTGGAGGAGCTGACCTAGTGAGGGTGGGGGCTTTACGGGGACGCCACTCACCTCGCCGTGCCCGCCCCTGCGCCGGCTGTGAGTCCTGGGGGAGGCCAGATGCTTCCGCCGAGGCCCGTCCCGCATCCTGGCCTCAGGTGACCTGTGGACGGCCGCCTCTCTCACAGACACCGTCCGCGACACCACCACCGCGCACCAGGCTCTGCTGGTGGCCAAGAACGTCGACTCGTTTCCGCAAAACCAGGAGCGCTTCAGCGGGGGCTGCATCGACGTGTGGTGGATCGTGCACGACGGCGGCATGCTCATGCTGCTGCCCTTCCTGCTGCGCCAGCACAAGGTGGGGTGCGCCGGGGACGGGTGGGGACGGGGACGCACCGGCCAGAGCACGGCTACCCCACACGCCGCGGGCCGGGCAGGCTCCTCCGAGGACCCGCAGCGACGCCTGCCCCGTCTCCAGGTGTGGAGGAAGTGCCGGATGCGCATCTTCACGGTGGCCCAGGTGGACGACAACAGCATCCAGATGAAGAAGGACCTGCAGATGTTCCTGTACCACCTGCGCATCAGCGCCGAGGTGGAAGTGGTGGAGATGGTGAGGCCTGCGGCTTGAGGGGAGGAGGTCGGAGGGGAAGTGGGGAGGAGGTGGGGGTGGAAGTGGGGGTGGAGGGGGAGGGCTGTGGGCCTCGTGAGGTGGAGGTGGAGGTGGGGAGGAGAAGGTGGTGGCGATTGTGGTGGGGAGGAGAAGGTGGTGGCGATTGTGGTGGGGAGGAGAAGGTGGTGGCGATTGTGGTGGGGACTGCCAGGCCTTGTGGGGTGGTTCAGGAGGCTTGGTTTTGGAATCGTCAGGACACTGCAGAGAGCACAGAGCCCCGTGTGTCCCTGTTGACACCTCATGTAACCTGGGCGTGGGTGTTGCCCTAGAGCCGGCGTCGGCGTCTCCGTGTCCCCCATGGTCTCATGTCCTCCTCGGCCCGGGGCCCTGTCCAGGACCTCACACCTCAGTGGTATTGCCATGGTGGGTGCACCTCTGAGCACCTCCCGTTTTGGGTGCTCTCCCCAGATGGGCTCAGTCCCATGGCTAGAAACCACACGTCAGCAGTCGGGACTGGGGGAGAAGGGCACTGGTCAGAGTGAGGCCAGGCTGCAGCCATCGTGTAGGACAGACAGCCCCTCAGTCAGCTGCAGGTGGGGCCTGGACAGAGACTCGTCCTGTCCTTCAAGCCTGGAGAGGACGGGGTTGATGGGCGGAGGCCTGACGTGGGAGTGCTTGCTCCGGGCCCCCAAGCATGAAGCTCTGGACCCTGGGGGTCTGGTGGGCCCCTTGTGCTGGATAGAACCATGCTATTGCTCCCTACCAGCCCACCCAGATCCACGGCTGTGCCTTCCCCTGTGGTCCTGTTGGCGGTCCTGGGACTTTGTGGGTTCTGACCCCATGTGGATCACACCAACAACACTGGTCTTGAAGTCAGAACCCGCAAAGTCCTGATTTCTTCTGGCTCCCGTGACCCCAGCGCACGGTTTTGCAGGCCCTCGGTGGCCTGGACTCCTGAGTGCTGGGAAGACATAAAGCTGGATAGAGACTGTCATGCTGTCCCCCAGGAAGCCATCTGTGCCCCTGCAGCAGCCTGGGAGGTGCGGTCTCCCCAGCCCCCCAGCCCCTCAGCCCCCCAGCCCCGGGTATGGCAGAGGCCCCAAGCGCCTGCTCCTAGTTTGTGTCTGGCTGTGAGAGGCCAGGCATGGCTTCGTGCCCCGCCGACAACCTTCTGTGTTTCTGCGTCAGTTCCCATGGAGCTCGCTTGTCCCGTGGGGCTGCTTTTCCTCTTGCCCTGTGGGACCTTTCCCAGGCTGAGGCCGAGGCCTGTGTGACGCCGGGCGGTTTTCCGCCCAGTTTTGTACACTGGGCTTAGTTTGCACGTGGCTGTGTCTTCGGGGACGACGGCTGGAGTTTGTCTTGCTTGGACGAGGCTTTGCAGGTTCAAGGTTGTAGGGGTTATTATTGGTGCTAATAGTTGTATGAATAACGTTATTTCCAAGTCATAAAACCACTTAGTAAAATGGTAACAAAATGCTGCCTGGGAGAACCAGCCCTGCCAGGGGCCCAGGTGGGACAGCCATTGGGGCCCAGAGGAAACAGGCAAAGTGAGCCCATGCCCCCTGCCGCACCCCCAGCCGCACCCCAGCACCCCCGTGGTGCCAGAGGCAGCTCACCAGCTCCTGAGCAGGGGTTGTTAGCTCTGAAGTCCGGGAACCTGCAGCTCCCAGCACCCCTGATGCTCCCGGCCACATCTCTGGCAGGGCTGGTGCTGCCCACCCCCCCGTGGCCCTGGCCCCAGATACAAGTGTCACCTGGCTGGAGAGGGGTGTGTGGGCCGCTGCCATTCAGTCTGGCGTGCTGTTTGTTTTTTAAAAAAATTTTTGAGACAAAGTCTCGCTCTGTCCCTGAGGCTGGAACCTCCATCTCCTGGGTTCAGGCAATTCTCCTGCCTCAGTCTCCCAAGTAGCTGGGACTACAGGTGC